TTAATGCCTATAGTTGAACTATAAAGTAATAACGTTCTATTACCGAGTTGAACTGAGCAATAGCGTTCTATTACCGAGTTGAATTGAGTAATAGTGTTCTATTACCTAGTCGAACTGAGAAATAGCATTCTATTACCCAGTTAACTGAGTATTAAGTGTTTTTACGAGACTGTGTGTTTGGCGATTGCGGTAATAATACGCCTTGTAAGTACGTAAAAACCGTTTAAAATTCTCAACACGAGCATCACAAATGAGTATGGCTGTTGTGTGAAATATTTTGGATCGTGTATCGTTTCATATTGGCAACAATGCTATTAATTTTAACTGTGAGATGTCGCGGCCGGGAATTGAATCATTATACTGATGGACGTTCTTGCAGAGTTGATAAAGGTATCTGTCTTTAACTTTTTAGTTTTTATACTTTCCTATTTGTCATATAACACTTATTAAAAACGTCTATGATTCTATTGATATAAAATAGATATATATGTCAGCGACAAACGTTTCTCCTTGTTTTACACTTGTGTGATATAATTATGTAATATTTGTGATATAATTTACAACTTAATAATTTATATAAATTACAAATATTCACACTGCATGTGCCAACCTCGTACCCAGGATCTTTCTTTGGGAAAGACCCTGGCTGCGGCTGGTCACGTGCTTCATCAAAAATGTAGCGCCTGAGGGGGTGTGGGGAAAGTATCAAATTACATCAACATGCTTCCAGTGGGATATTCGTTAAAAACATAGATTTTGCGAATTATTACGTTCAAAATACTTGCTAATTTTTGTTTATTTTCCTTGCTTTGAATTTACAAGAACATTGTTACATTCTTACTTACAGTCAAGTCAAGAAACCAAGCAAATCGTTACTCGCAGTGCTCTCTCGTGTTGTTATTCAATGCATGCTCTCTTCACACTCGAGCGCGGTTATAACAAACGTTTGTTGTAATGTTTTTAAAATAGGCTATTACATTTGTCCTTTCTTGTAAACGTTGATACGCTTTGCACCGATTCACTTGTTACTACGCGTCTTGTTTATAAGATTTTTAAAAGAAACAGTATTGTCTAGGACTGGACCAAATATTAGCAAATGTAAACATTTGATAATAGCCGAACAGAGAAATGTCCATAAGCATAGAGGAAATTTCAGTCATTGATTTATCTGGATTTACTACATAAATTCGTATTCGGTAATTATAGTAAGACTTTAGCCTTTTTCTTGGTCTCTATTAATCATTATATTGTGCTAATATACTATAATCTATATAACAAATTTACAGTGTCAGATGCGCACAGACCGTCATTTGGCGTCATACGAATAGACATAAATTTTCGAGTTTTCTACTTCTACTAACATTTTTAAAGTATTCATTGTGAATCACCTGTTTATCTCTAATTCATTAATCATTTGCTACTTGTATTTATTTGATAGTGTCAATGTCATATAGTGAATAATGCGGTTACACACAAGCAATCCTGGATATGATATAGACGATGCAAGCTGTCCATTAAAAAATAACGGTATTCTATTTCACAAAGCAAAAATTTAAATCTCACTTGTATATATTAAGAATGCATATAAAGCAAAAATTTAAAGCTTATTCATGTCAAAACGAAAGCTGTTTACAAAATTTATAAAGGTGGTGAACACTACTAAACAGTGCTCATTGAAAATGTCGTATAATATAGTGACATATAATTTGCCGTTTGACTTATCTTTGGTGTATGATTTTAATACCGTAGATTTTCAACAGACAGCTATACTTTGACATATACCATGATCGTTGGATTCAGCAATGCCAAGGGCCAATTTTATAGTCTTTTGACGGGCTTTAAGTTTTTTGATGAGGCCTTTACATAGATCAACAATCTGGATACAGTTGGCGATATTTCGGAAATCAAAAGATCTCGCTATTTCGTTGCAATTCCACATCTCATCAATAAATAAATTCTTTTGGTCCGAGTATCAGGATAAACTTTAATACTAAATAAATAACAACCACACTGTTCGGTCTAGAGATATATATTTTCTTGCAGGTTTAATCACAGTTTAATATTGCCACGCTGCACAAGCGGCAAGCGTGCTTTCTTTGGCAAGTCTATAATGAAATCTGATCCAACTTGCTTTAATTGTAGCTCGACACCAGATTATAGAGTAGAACGTCACGACATAAATATTAATTCAAGAGTTCTCTTTATAATTACGATTTCTTGTTGCAAATTTACAGTAAATTTCATCACCCAAAGTTGCAATTTTAAAACGCTACAAACACTCTCCTTTCCCACCCCTCTCACAGTTACAATTAAATTTACCTCCCAAAATCTGGGAGGCACGTGACCAGCCGCAGCCAGGGTCTCTCCCAGATGACAGACGGAGAGACCCTGGGAACGAGGTTGTGCATGTGCAACTTTAATAATATGTATTCAATTCATAAGTTTATGTCAAATGGACCAACAGTATAAGGAGGGTCCTGAAGGGGTAAAATGGGAACTGGGATTGATCTATTTTTAGACTGGGAAAATGGGATTTGGGTTGCTGGGACTGGGATTTGGCCACTGGGAATGGGAAATGAAGTCCTCAAAAATGGGAATGGGATTGAGGTAATGTGAGTCGATTTGATCCGTTTTTGGTGTCTTTGGTCATGATTTAATTGTTAACTATATTATTCACAGCACTACCTGCGAACAGGCATACTCTGGCGCCCGGAATTCGGGGTTTTCTGATTATGCGTGTCTCAGCAAGCTGTAAATGCCATTAACGGATTCAAATTTTAAAATTTTCTGTGCCTTTGGCACAAGCCCCCCCCCCCAATATTTCATAAAGTGTCCACCACTTGCACACACGGTGGCTTAAAATTCTTAAAACTGTTTATTCTACCGATAAATAAAGGGTTTTTTATTGACTGGGATTTCAATAACTTGGAATGGGATTTCTAATAAAAATCCAACTGGGACTGGGATTTTGCCAAAATTTCAAGTGGGAAATGGGATTGGGACCCCCCCCCCCCTTCAGGACCCTCTATAAGTTGCTGTCAACATACCACATGTGCATACACTATACAGTATATTGTAAATCAGTGGCACTGTGAGTGACTGTGAGTAGGCGACAATTAAAATAGACAAAGGATGCTGATAAAAAGTTGCCATAATAACAAGTGCCCAGTGCGGCTCATGGTTCTTAAGTTTTAGGTTCTTATTACGCTTTCCATTAACATGGCCAGACCGGTCAAATTGTTGAATGGAATACAAAACATTTAGGCTTCTGACCTATGTGACTGGAAAATTTAGATTTTCACTAGATATTTGAGAAACATAGACCAGACCTTCCATTGATACAGAGAAAAGCATTTGGGTCTGACTGGTCAGGCCATTAAATGTAAGGGACGGACCATTAGAAAAGTGATGGGGAGGGTGGGGAAAAAACAGAAAAAAAATCCATGCAAACAAAAAAGGTTTGAAAAAAATACATGCAAACAGACTTGTTTAAAAAAAAATTACAAACAGAACAACAATAGAACTTTAATTTTAAATGTACATCAGACAAAATTGAACTAAATCTTTGGAATATTTCAGAATATAAATATATCAAAATATATAATATATTAATATGCAATTTCTTTCAATATTAACAGTAACTCTTATGTAGTTTTATTATATACTATCAAAATATTTTCTATTGTATTTAATAATTAATTCTCATTCACACTGCCACTGTCCTCAGTGGCGTAACTACTATGGGCTCGGACTGGGAGAATCCGGGGGCCCCCAACCCCAATGGGCCCGCAAATGGGGGGCCCCAGGCTCAGGCTATAGCCGCAAAAACATTGGCCAAGGGCCTCTGATATGTTACAATGGCGTTTTTTGACCATCAGAATTCTGTAAAATCTCTCCCCAAAGTCCGGGAAATGGTATTTCAGAGAATTTAGATTCAAAAATTTTCCGGGTGAGCATGCTCGGACCCCTAGAAAACTTGTCCATATATGGCGCTTAAAGATATAATTTTGCAGTGTGTATTAAAGGGATATTTTTTTGTCAAGAGAACAGTTTCGTTAACATTTGTATAGTTGTATTGGAAAAAAAATTGCATGATTGCATGATTGCATGATTTGCTTGATTCAACCCACGATGCCCTTACCATTGCTTTTGTGGTCATGTTTGCCCCCACACCTTACCATGTGGCAGATTTCCTGGGCCATATCACAAGCTATACTCATGCCTTGACCACAATTCCAGTTTACAAACTGTCCTTCTGACAACTTGTGGCAACCTGGTAATACTGGTGGACATTGCTATATAATATAGTAGTTCTGGCAAGAACTTGATGACTTGAAATACTGTAATAGTCATTGGAAAAGCCAAAATGTTATTGTACAATTTCACATTGAGTTCTATCAAAGTTCTTTCACCAGAGAGAACAGTTATCTGTAGGCGCTTTCTTGATATATATATGAGCAACTTGATCATCCTGTTCCTAACCCTGCAGATATAATTTGCAGAATGCAGAACACTACTTCTGTACTTTTGCTCAGCTTTTACAGTGTTAGGAAACTAACTCTAACACTTTCAGAAAGCTATTACTTATCATCTCTGAGCAAAAGTACATAAGCTGCATTCTGCAAATTACACCCACCTCCATGGGCTTACGGGAAGGAAAAAATTAGGGGGGGTGGAAAAAAATTTGCCCGACTTTTTCGAATTGTGCCCATGTTGTCAAAAAAAATTTCCAGAGAGACTTTCCAAAATTGTTGCCGACGGGGCGGGGAGGGGATTACGACAAATTCTTATTAGAGAGCATATTTCCCACAAAATTGACAAATTTCTCACAAAATTGACAGAATTTGTCCCATTTATTTTCATAATAAGCCAATATTGCCCGACTGTGAAGTGAATATTGCCCGACTGGCTTTGTTTGCCCAACAAACTGGGGGGCTGTCGCAACCCGCCCCCCTCCCCCGCACGCAGTACGTCCATGCCCGCCTCCCTGAACCTAACCAGAATTGTATGTGATAATATTCCGGTTGCTCACATGCTGAGAGAGTGCTGTAAGATACTGTAACTGTAAGATACTGCATAAAAATTTCAGTGGTTTATAGCTGATACTGTATGATATATTACATGTATGTATAATATATTAAATAAAATTCAAATGAAGTATGTTAATAATTAAATATTAGGCCAATACGTGAATTAAATATTAAACTTAAATATTAGACTCTGTATAATTGTCAGCCAAATCAGTATAATTTAGATTGTCATTTGTATATAAATATAATATATGTGGTGTACGATGCTTTCCTGCATGCGGTAATAATATAAAGCCATCTTAAAATATATTTGGAGGTGAATTGTTTTCACACATAAATTTTCACACAAATATACATAAGCAATTACTTTCAAGTTGTACTAAAAGATCAGAAGTATATACAGAGTATATATTCTCAGAACAGCGAAAATGTGGGAGTAGTGGGACAGGTATATGCCAGCAAAATCCAGTAAAATGTGACAATACATTCGATCACAATTCGCTTTATATAATTTAAAACAATTCTTAAACATACAAAATTTGAGATATTCTCACTCAAAAACATTTCATAAGAACATATTTACGATAATCTTCATTTATCTTACATAATTGAGCACATTTCATGCCATAAATGTTGCGATTCGATCAACAGAATGAGTGATTTCATTCTTTCGATGAATAAACAGAACAGCACCCTGCGAACTACCCTGGATTCCAGAGCCTTCGACAGTAAATAATAAATTGAAATGTCGCGAAGGCTCTGGTTCAACGGGGCGATTCTTTGATCGAACCGCGCCAATCACAAAACAGAATTAGTGGTTTTAGTACAGATTCTTTGATCGAACCGCGCCAATCACAAAACAGAATTAGTGGTTTTAGTATTCTGTTTTGTGATTGGCGCGGTTCGATCAAAGAATCGCCCCGTTGAACCAGAGCCTTCGCGACATTTCAATTTATTATTTACTGTCGAAGGCTCTGGAATCCAGGGTACCTGCGAACAGGCTCTCTTGATAATTCAACCCCCGGGGAAGATACAACATATTACGTAATGCTCCGCAGCCACAGAAAGAGAACCCTGGGTACGAGGTTGCCCCTATGGATGAATTTTTCTGAAGGGTGACCCCAAAGTCGTTTCTGAGAGGTTAAGCCTGTCGACATCTTTTGATCTCTGCGATTTTTCTGAGGCGTAAGGGGAATTTACAAATTTCTGAGGAGGTTTTTGTGTCGGCACTTTGATCTTTTTTTCTTATAGGTTAAAATCTTACTGACCTCACTCATAGAAGGGGGGGGGGGGGG